ATAAAAAGAAGAAGAACAGCAATGACTTAAGACAAAGCAAAGTTAGGTAGTGAGATGCTTCATGATTTCCACATATAAATTGTATCATTTAGATGACTTCTACAAGATTTACATAAAATAATATATGCTTCATCAAAGTCATAAACCACTTGAAGGATTCTAACAATTGACTGCTTGGTGGAATTAGTTGTTAAGAAGTAAAAAGTGAATCCACTAATTAGTCAACATCAATGTATTAGTTGTTCTCCAAATATCACAATAACTGAAGACACTTTAAGGCCTAGTCACGTAATTCTTCCATCCTTTCTATTTTATTTGTAAGGGAAGAAAACTCAGTTTTTTAAATGTGGAATATAAACATCACATAAGAAAAGTAAATTATAGTGTAAAATTGAATTAAAATATGAAAGAAGCCCTGATGCATTCAAATTGAAGAGAACAGAAGCTGCTGCTTCTGCTATAGATGGTATATAACTCAGCTTTAGTATTCTCATCACTGGGGCTTTTAAAAAAGAAGCTCCTAAAGAGAAAGGTGCCCGCACTGCACTGGTCTGCCTGTATTCAGAGGTTAAGTTCCCCTGGTCTTGCTAATGTGTCTAAATCAATCCTCCTTTCTACTATGTTCCTTCAATCCATTTCCCACTGGGGCACCCACTTTTTGAGAAAGATGATCCACACCCCAAAACACCTTCTCATTCCTCCATTGTCCTCGGTCTCCTTGATGAAATACCATGTGGGTAAAATCAGAGACATGAAAACAGGTTCCTGACCCAGTGATTGGCAGGCTTCTGGAGTCCCCTGTGCATCAGACTACATCACAAAAATACTCAGGTGCGGGTGAGCCCCTGCCCACATGCTTCTCAGGAGGGCAGACAAACGGTTGTCTGCCATTTAGCCAGATATCTGTTTTTAGCTGCATCCTTTCCAATATAATTAGAACTTAAATGTACACATCTCTCAAATTCCAGTGAGCCCACAGGGTGCCCGCCCTGCTCCATCAGGGAACGCATCCTAGAAGCGGTAGCAGTGCTCACAGGGGACAGGGACAGCAAGGGTCTGCGGGCCACATCCCCACCGAAGTGTGGCTGGGCCAATTGCATGTCCCTCACCCCCAGACAAGAAAGGTGACAGGGAGTGGATGCTCCTTGAGTCTAGTTCTTCCAGAGAGAGGAGCTCCATGGTGAAGGTCCTGAGTCCTACTGAATTTAGGGGTCTGGCCTTTCTCCATCCCCTGTGCTCTCTCTTTGCCCTCTGCACCCCCACTCTACCCTCCGTCAGCGTAGGCGTAGAAGTGTTTTACACTGAAGGAGCCCCACTGACGTATGCATCCCCTCCCATCCCATCTGGATAGAAGCCCAGAAGGGAGCGAGTGGGGGAGATGCGGAGGTGGGGATCCCTCCTGTCGCTGAGTTTAGGGTCCCAGAACGAGACCAATTCAGGGCCAGCCAAGAATATTGGTTCTAGACCCACCAACAGACCACGCGTTTCCCTCCTGCAACAACCCCTTCGCTCCCAATGAGGTCACTGCGATGAGAGAGAAGCAGATCCAGAGCGAGGGGGAAGGAGAGGACGAGGAGGAGGGAGAAGCAGCCCAGACTGGGAAAGGCCATCAGACAAGGTCGCCTTTTCTGGCCGCACAGCCACTGCGAGGCACGTGGTGCTGAATCTCCTCCGCCCGCTCAGCCTGGGGAACCGGGGACTGGCAGGAGCACTTGGTGTTACCGCGAAAACAAAGGCGAGGAGAGGGGCGGGCGGGCAAGGGAGAGAGAGGCTCCGAGCAGTTTGGCTCTGCATCTCCGGGAAGCAAAGCTCATCTCCTTGGCAAGGAAGGGAAGGGGAGCCCGGCCGTCTGGAGGCGAAGGAGGGAGCGGGCTTCCCTGCGGAGACCAGGACGCGGCAGAACTCTGGACAGCGCCTCGCCAGCGGCACTGGGAGCTCCCGGCTGCTTCCTTTTGGAAAAACCCTGTGACCTGTTTCCTCTCCCTCCTGGACTCCGACCACGGATCGGACCCTTCCTTCTGCGATCCCTGTCCGAACGGCCCGGGAGTGGAGCGGCGGTCTTGCCTCTGGCCCGGTCAAGGAAGCGGTCTCCGGTCCTGGACATCCAGTCCTTGTGGATAGTGCTCCGCCGGTGAAGAAGGAAAAGTTTTGGGGTCTGGTAGGGGGAGGGAGGGGGAGGGAGTAGTGGAAGAAAGAAGGTGGATGGTCGGGTTCCCACGCTGAGCTGGAAGGAATGATGACCGAGGAAGGATGTGCACCAGCGGCCAGATTATTGGGAGCCTCTTGGTGCTCTCCGTGCTGGAGATAGGGCTGGGGGTGTCCAGCGTGGCCGTGGGGGCGGTCAGCTTCAGCCTGGCCCTCCGACAGCACAAGCCGCAGCTCGGAGACTCGTCCCCGGTATGGAGCGGGGTGTGTGTACGTTGAGCCATTTCACTCTCTTTACCTCCGTAAGGTGATGGTCAGTGTGCGTGCGTTAGTCGCCTCCTCCCCGGGGAAGGAAATGCTAAAGCTCCCGGGCTTGCATGTAGGTTCCTGTTGGCGGGCTGTGCCTCTCTACGCTGTCTTTTTATTTAGCCCAGCAATTGTTTTCTTTTTCCTTTCCTTTTTTTTTTTTTTTTTTTTGTCTTCCTTACCTTGGGCTCAAGACCAAATTAAATGCCTTGTTTAAAGTTGGGGAGGGGGGACTTGTCACCAGCTGAGTCTGCAGAAGGCTGCCCAAGTAGTGCTGATTCGGGGTCACACCTGTCAGGGCAGATTGTTTCGGGGAAATCAAAATGAAGGTGTTACATCATTGTTGTGTGCCAGGAACAAGCAAGGGTAGACTTTGTGCATTTATGTCTGAGTACACTAAAGGCAACACCAGTCTGACAAAAAGAGAAATGTGGTGTGAGTAAAAGGAGCATCTTACCCCCCCTAAACCCCCCCCCAAAAAAAGAAAACAAAAAACAAAACATTGCTCTGAATTTCCCCATGCTAGCTTTCTATACTTCATCTCTAACAACTCTCTTGCAAGTTCTAGGCAATAAGTTGAACAACAAATGGTGTGGCATTTAACAGCATTCTAATTGGAGGATAACTTAGCTCAAAGAGTGCCTAAGGCTCAGAGAAAATGTCATCATCTTCTCTAGGTCAGATGGCTGACCCAAAGCGCTGCTTGTTGTTTATTTACTTTGGGTGAGTCTCCAGGAGAGCCTTGGAGACCCATCCCTCCACCAGGAATCAATAAAGTAACTTAGCACTATTCCTAGTATGGGCCTAATTTTGAAAACCAACTTTTCTTCTCCTTTAATGTATGAAGCTGCTCTATTCTTTGGGGTCTCTCACTCCATCTTACTTTAGATAATTTATGGGATGTTATTCTACCCCATGGGCATAATTAACAATCATGGCTTAGTTACTTGTGCTTTAAGTTACTGAGAAAAAGATGATCATTTATGAGTTCAAATAAGTTTTTCCAAAGTAATTTATTTTTTGAGGGAAATGCTAGCATTCTTAAAATTCTAGCATTCTTGAAGCATTCTGCTTTAGAAACTTTGTTTTAATATTATAATTTTTCAAAGTGAAGTGAATGTTTTTAAATTGCAGGAGTTAAAAGAAGAATGGTGTTCAATCTAACGGTGAATTCTTGCAAGAATCCTTGGTCTAAATTCAATAATAACTTACTACCAACCTCTGAATAATTACCTTTTTCTTTATTATACAAATATATCAATGCATATTTTAAGTATGAAAGTCTAAAGGCAAATCTTAAATCTGACATTATGTCTTATATGTAGTAGTGATTATTTTGAGGGTTGCAGTTATAATTAACAGAAATAGTCATACTCTAAAACTTCTATCAGACGATTGTCAAAATGAAATGTAATGTCAACATTTAAAGCAAGAGGAAGAAAATGTGATCTTTTGATGGCTTAAGAGGGAGAAGCCTCAACTACTTTTCAAATCACTTCCCCTTTGACATCTAAGAGATTGAGTAACAAACTTAAGTTGTCTCTAAATAGTATTGAAGTATCCTGTTTGTATTTAAGAATTAAAAAATAGTTATATTTACTTGACATCATGTAAGAAAAATAATTAAATGATTTATGTTCCTCTTCCCAAACTATTTCCTATTACCTAGATGAGTTGATATATGTGTATATACAGAAAATGAAAATTTGAATCAGATTAGTGAAAAGCAAATAAAAGAGTTATATATATAGTCATTATCATAAAGAATTATTTCCATGTTAACTGGTTCTTTAGAGTAGCCAAAATTCACCTATGATCCTAGAACAATAGTTTTGAATTCTATTCTCTGATTCAGTAAAAAAAATTTAAAAACTACATGTGATTGAATGAATGGATTTGAAACTAGAATGCCCAAACAGTTGGTCACTTTTATGAACTCAAGTTAAAAAAGCAAAATTTGTGAAGGAATCAATAGCAAGTTGTCATCGTTGTTTATCAAATTATAAGCTTGCTAAATTGATTTTCTAAATTATTTTTCAGAGGTCATTTCTGATACAGTCTGAATTATCTCTTCATTCTGCCAATGATGAATTCATATAACCAACATTTATAGAGGGATTGCCATGTGCACAGCATTTTACTATATAACAAAAAAGACTATTGAGATGAATCAGAATGCCTAGTAAACGACACATGATGGACAGATACATCACTAACTTTATCAGTGACACATTAGAGTTTGGCCTCAGAGAGGGCATTTTACTATATAACACAAAGACTATTGAGATGAATCAGAATGCCTAGAAAAGGACACATGATGGACAGATACATCACTATATCAGTGACACATTAGAGTTTGGCCTCAGAGAGATGCAGGGGCAGGTAAAGGGAAGAGAGGTGGGGACCGCCAATGAAACATCCATGGGAGAATGATTATTTTTCTCTTGATCTTACAACTTGCCTGGGAATTAATGTATCACAATGTTGAGGAATGTAGCACAGGGTGAAAGCTGGCGTCTACCTGGGTACAGATCCCGGATCTGCCATTTACTATCTGGTTGGCTAGCCAAAGTTTCCTCAGACATTGTAAAATCGCGTTGTGAGGAGGCACAAATGAAATAAGACTCTTAGTAAAAAGCACAGCATGTAGTAAGCACTGAATAGATGTGAGCAGCTAATACCGGGTGCACAGATTGGCAGAGAAGAGCATGAGGAAGGAGAACCTTTAGGCAGCATAACCGAAGGCAAAAACCTGGGACGGGGTGGGTTATGTCCCAGGAAGAACAGGCTCCGCTATTTTTCTGGGTCATAGGTTTGTGAGTGAGAGATAGGGTTGGGAAGAGTGGTTGGGGCCAGATCATGGGAGGTTGTTCGCCAGTTCACGGCAATGAATTTATTTCTTAATATTTAAAAATAATAATGATAATGATAATAGCAATTCTTACTTTCTAAAAAGACTCCAGGGAGATGCAAAGGAAAACTAGACAGAAACTTATGAATCTCTCTGGTATTTTATGAATTAAAAGGCTGTATTATTTATGAACACAGGATGATATTTGATAATAACCTGTCAGGATAACCATAGTCTATAATCAGGGTGTGTTTTGATTGGTGCCATGAAGTTTTTCCACACATTCATATCATTATTACAAGACTTCTGACTTAAGTTTTAGAAGTCAATGAAAATAAAAACTGTACTATGAAAAGATTGCTTCTTATATAGAGAACCCAATATCATAAGCTTTTTGTCTAGGTCAAATGCACTAAGAATCCGGATACCTATTTTGATTATATGCCCCTAAAATGTTAAATAAATAAATAAAATATGGCTTAAAAATAAAGTAGTACCAAGATAAAGGACTTACTAGTAAAATCAATGAAACTGATACTTATACAGACTATTTTCAGTCACTATTTCATAATCAGGCAAAGGGTGCGTCTGCGATCAGTTTAAAAGATGTGGGCATTTAGAAGGGGAAAAAAATCATTTTAGACTTAGAGAAAGAAAGCTATAAATGCCTTTGTAGTATGTTGCTTCTTCTTGATTCTTTTTTATAGCTGATAAACAGTCACCTCATTAAAAGCATAAAAGAAGACATAACTGTCAGATAACAATGAACCATTGAGTAAACTGCTTTGGAAAAGACGTTGTCATGTGAAATAGAATTGATGTGTAAGATATATTAGTGGGGCCTTGAATAGATAAGGCTATGTTTCCACGTTGCTGTGTGATAGATACATTTCTCAGTCTCCAGGGCATTGTCTATGATGGGAGTGGACTGTATTTACTAGTACACAGATTCATGGGTCCAAGAGAATTTTATTTTATTGCTCTAGGTTGACAGTTGGAAATCTAGAGATTCAGAAGGTCGTGCCCAGAACAACCTGTCAAGATTCTGAGTTGTAGTTGATACGTCCCCTGGTAAATTCCATTGTGTATATCTGATGATCATTCTAGAAACTAAGCCTATTAAAAGAACTTTCTAAACCCTGTTCACCCTACATATAAACATAGTCTTTTATAACATCCAAAATGTTTTATCTACGTCATATAAAGTTTGAGCACTTTTTATTGCTTATTTTTCTGGAGCATACTTGCTTTGTGTACCATAACTTTATCTACTTAATAAATCTGATAATTTAGGTGAGTGGAATGTATAACATAACCAAGGCACATACCTGTTGTGTGGATTCCCGATTCACCATGCAACAACTCAACCAATTTTAAGATTGTGATAAAATTCATCTACTGTACATTCTGATCCATACCATAGCAATATAGATGATGTGCCATATATGAATTATACATGCTTCAAAGTCTTATTTTTAATATTTAAATCTGCCCAATTCGTTTAAGGGGGGGAAAAACAACAACAATCAAGTGAAAGAAATCCCTCAGTTACTTCAAATGTACAAAATTTGAAGCTAGTGTGTCTCTGACCAGATAATATATCGTCATTTGCCAGAGTCAAAATATAGATAAAAACACTATCCCATCCTAAGAAAAAATTACAATTGTATATTTATACCTTGTTTTAAATTAATTTTAACTATGCAAGTAATTAATAAATAAATTCTCATTTCATGGGTTAGAAAGAATTAAAACTGAAGCTCTTTCTCCTATCATATTATCTAAACTAGCCACACTTGTAAATTTAGTGTATAACCTCATAGATATTTCTCCATGCATAAATAGTATTGTTTGAACATATGGACCAATTTGATCAATTTTCTGGATATAATAAAGCCTATTTATAAACTCTGTAGAGCTCAGGTAAAGAATCTCTTTCTCATCTGTTATACACTCTTCTTCTCAAGTGCTACTTGTTATCTACTGAGGTTAGGTTAGGGAAATTAGATAATAGGCAATTAAATAAGTTAGCCAAGCCAAACTACTAGGAAGTGTGGTTACTGTTCAAGGAACCTCAATCACCTTCAGTCCTCTACTTGTTGACAATTTGTTT